CCCGACCGAGTACCACTCCTGCTGCCGAGACGAGTAGCATCCCGTCGCCGTCCTCCTGCAGCTTCACGCCGTGCTCCTTCAGCTGGCCGGACGACAGCAGGTTGGCCCGCACAGCCGGGACGTACAACACGTCGGGGATGAGCACCTGCTTCCCAGCCTCCCCCTGTAGGGCGACGGTGCCGCGGCCCTGGACGTCCTGCAGCGCCCCATTGAAGCCGCGCACGTGCGTGATGGGGCCGCTCGGCTGCAGGTCGACGAAAACTTCTTTCGTTCCCATCAAGTGATGGGAGCAGCCGCTGTCGAGCAGGACCACCGCCGGGTTCGCCTGCACAGCCGCCGCCACCGCCTGGAAGTCCTCTCCATCCTCCGGCGCCAGCGAGACAATCGGCTCCACGACGCCGACCATGGAGCACGAAGCCGTCTTGTTATCCCGCGCCTTGCCGCCTGCAGAGGAGTCGGCGTCCTTTGCCGAGGTCGACGTCGTCGACTGCTTCTCCTTGCGTGGCTGGTTTCCTCCTCGACGAGGACGACGACTGCCAGACCTCCCGCGGCCTCCCGTGGTCTCTCGGAGCCACTGCGGTCGGGGCACTCGAAGGAGAGGTGGTCGGGGCTGTGACAGATCCAGCACTCCCGATGTCGATTTCCTCCTCCTCGACCGCTCTCCTTGGTCGACTTCTTCTTGTCGACCTCCTTGGCCGACTTCCAGCCACTGCTACCACCGCCGCCAGACTGTCCGCGCTGCCCCGGTCGGCCTCCTTGCTTCGCTGGGGCGACGAAGTTCGCCTGCGCCAAGAGCTCCTGGGACCGCTCTGCCTCCTGCATCGCCTCGTCCTGCAGGATGTACGAGGTCAAGTTGTCCTCGTTGAGCGTCGCCCTCGTGCTCGGCGCCATGGACAGCCGCTTCAGGAGGTTGTAGCTGCTCGAGAGTCCCTGCATGACGTGGGTGATGTACGACGCAGTCGAGTACTGCGCGCCGGCCATCCTGATGGTGGCGAGAATTCGCCGGGCCCGGTTGCAGTAGTCGGTCGCTGTCTCCTCGTCGCCCATACGCAGGTGCGTCAGCTGCCCCTCCAGCTGGGCGATGAAGTGCCACGCCTGGTGGCCGGCGTCGAGGTACTCTCGACACCATTTCAAGGCGATCTGCACGCCCGGCGAGCAGCACCGCGAGATGACCGTGAAGGTCAACAGCTGCACAGCGCGGAACTCCGCTCGCAAGTCGGCGTGATGCTCCTCCGGCGTCGCCACGGTCCCGCGGGCGAAGCCGATCAGCCCGGCCATCTCCAGCTGGGGCTCGATGGCTTCCTTCCAGGTGAGTATGTCGGGTCGACCAACAAGCGGCGGGGTGACCAGGATCCTGTCCGGCGTGAACTTGAAGTAGCCGTAGCTCGGAGCAATCCCGCCTGCCGTCACCTGAGTCGCCGACATCGGCGACACTCCGCTTTGTCGACCTCCGACGTTGCCCTGCGAGGATCCTGCAGCCGCCGACAACTGCCTTCCTCGCGCCTGAACGCCGCCGACTTCATCGGCGTGAATCACACCACGCTGCCTCGACGTGCCTCCCGCACTGCTGCCGACTTGGCCACCTTCGGCGTTAACGCCCACGTCGACACCGCCTTCGTTGGTCACCGGTCGAGGAGAAGCCGGTCGAGAAGGGGGATGCTCCGTCGCCCACATGGTACGGAGTCCAGCCTCAACGACCGCCCAGGGTATCACCCCATACTCCTGGGCCTCATGACGTCTCCTCGCATCCTCCAGCCGTCCCTCCAGGGTGTCCATCACCTTGGCGTCACCTACGCGCACGTTAGGGACTTGTACGGCTGCCGGCCTACGAGCAACTTAGGTATGTGACCTCTACGTCGACCTGACTGAAAGGTAAGTCGTGTGCCGTCCACGCTCACCGCACCATGCGGAGATAACTACTACAACGGGAGCTAGACTACGGGCTAGGCACGGGTGCTCGTGTGATCTCTGCGTTCGTCAGTCCTTAGTCGTTTTCCTAGTGCACACACTGCTTGCTAGTTCACGGGGCAATTTGGCAAGAGTTTCACTAGAGAAAGTTGACAATAATGGTACAATGAAGTTGGCAAGGCAAGACTACATCAGAGCTAGCATGCAAGCAGAACGACTGCCAGTGCAGCACGGTCGACCGTGTGCCAGCACGACTTGGTCGACCGCGCTCCAGCAGTGCAGAGTCGCGGCTTGCCACCGCTGCAAGTCGACGGCGTGACAACAGCGCAAGTCGACGGCGTGCCAGCGTTGCTCCCGCAGTACAGCATTGCACCCGCTTCGCAGGTGCTCGCAGATGATTGGCGCGCAGTGCCTCGTCACCTGCACAGCGCACACACCAAGTCCACTTCGTGCTGACGACAGCTGCTGATCAGCCACGTCGACCTCGGGATACCACCACCGAGGTCGTTCTCGCCAAAATCACCTGGGCGAACGTCGCATGCCTCCGCAGAACCTCGTCACCCAGGTAACCTGGTCGACCGAGCAACCAGGTCGACCAGATGCTCCTGTGCGTGCCCGTCGACCACGCAGGTCGACGACCACTTCCAATCGACCTCACCAGGTCGACCACTGCCTCTGGTATGTGCCGGTCGACCTCCCAAGTCGACGGCCACCTCCAGTCGACCTCCCCAGGTCGACCACTACCCCCTGGTCGACCAGCTCCAAGTCGACGTCACTCCAGGTCGACCAGAAGGTCTGGTCGACTTCCCAGGTCGACCAGAAGGGCTGGTCGACTTACCAGGTCGACCAGAAGGTCTGGTCGACTTCCTAAAGTTGGCGCCCTCCCGAAGTCGGCGCCCATGCAGTGGCTCCCCGTGCAGGTCGACCAACCTCGTCGACCAACTCGCCCACTGCTGCAGGTCGGCTGCACCCTACACCCGACCACGAAGTCGGCACCGCCCAAGCGAGGACGGGGCCAACATACAACTCCCGTTGACAGACGCTGCACAGCTCGCCACGCCTCCGCCGAAGCTACCATAGTGGTTTGGATCGGTGGAGGAGTATGTGGGGGCGTTTGAGCCTCTTCTGTTTGAGGAGGCGCGCGCCCAGGTGGCGAGCAGCTGGGAGGAGGTGGAGGGCGGCGAGGGGGGCGGCGGGCGCGCAGGGGGGAGCAGCGCGGGCGTGGCAGTGCGCGTGGCGTCGCTGGAAGCTACCCACCGAGGTGACTGACTCCCCGCTCCTCTCCCCCTCCTCTGCCGCCCTGCTGCTCCACTCGCCTCGCCTTGCACACACCACCCCTACTTCTCCTCCCTCACCCTCTGCTCTTGCCTCTTCCATTTTCTCCTCTCAGTTCTCTTTCATGTTCACACCACCTCCCACCGCACACAACCATGTGAACCACCTTTCTTCCCACCTTGAGTTCAGTCCCTAACTGATCAAAGCACACCTTGCGGTGCCACCACCCATGCACGCCCTCCCCACCCCGAGGCTGGCACGAGATGCTGCTTCAGCCACTCGCAGAGCAGCAGCAGCAGGGGGGCCGGCGGGCGGGGTGGAAGGAGGGCGAGTGGAAGGATGGTGACGTGGCTGTGCTGTCCACTGCACGGCTCACAGCTGCGAGCGATGAAGGTGCGGGTGATGATTGGCCTTATGGCAATGCTTTTAACCATGCTCGTGCTCAAGCCATGCCATGCCCATGCCCATGCTCATTCTCTCAATCTCATGGAAATGGGCACACTAGATTGAATGCCCTCTCTGTGCTGTTTGTGCCCCCGCCCTCGCCTCTCCTGGACCCCTCTCCCTCCTTCATCCGTTCTAATCTGCCTGCCACTCACTCCGCCGTGCAGACCAACCACGCGCATCACCGCCACAGCCTCCCCAGCAGCTGCGCATAGCTGGCATCGGGCGGCGCTGCTACGAGCCCATGCAGGACGACCGCGGTGCCACCCAGGCGACCATCATTTTTACCTTCCACGAGTCCGCCCTGCCACCCGAGTATGTAGCCATCATATGCAGCCCTGCTGCCATCCATACCTTCCCTTGCGCTGTGCATGCCTCTCCTCACACCCCTTGCGCTGTCCGTGCCTCTTCCCATATGCCTTTCTTCATCCCCCCATCAGCGAGCCAGTGTCTCCCCTCAAGGAGCTCAAGAGCAGGAACCTTCCGTGCACCTTCACGCCAGTGACATCGCTAACGACAGCGCAGAAGGAGTTCTCCTCCCTGCACTCCGTGGCGCACCTGCAGCCGCAGGTGAGGTGCGGTGAGGTGCGGTGAGGTGAGGTGCGGTGAGGTGGCGCACCTGCAGCCCCAGGTGTGTGCATCTGCAGGCATGCATACGCACCTCGTGTTGCCTTGGTGTGTCATCTCGGGTCAACTCATGCCTGCACGCACGAGCTTCCACACTCCTCTTTTTTGTTCTCGAATCTGCTTTCCCCTCCTCCACACATCTTCCATCCTCCCACTTCCACTCCATGTGTTCCATCAACCCCACCCCACTGCCATGCCCACTGCTCACCGCATGCCCTTGTCCTCATGCCCTCCTCCCCACACCATTCACGCAAATACTCTCGCCTGCATTGTCCTTGGTTCCCTTCTCCCTCCCTCCCTCCCTTCCTCATCTCCCCCCTGCTGCGTCCAGGACCCCATCTCTTCCCCGACTACATCACCGAGCTGCCGCCTCCCTCCCTCCATCCTTCCCTCCAACCCCCCATTCCCCCCCCCCCCCCCCCCCCCGCCCATCAGATGCTGGAGGCAGTGCTGCGCCCAGGCCCGCATCTCTTTCCCGACTACGTCAACGAGATGCTGCCGGACCTCTCCGCCGTCTTCTCACCCGCCTTCTGCGCGCACCTGCAGGCCTCCTTCAACGCGCCGCAGCTGCAGGCCATCCACTGGGCCGCCGCCCACATCGCCGCCCACACGCCCGCTGTGCCTGCCAGTGCGGCTGGCACTGCTGCCTCCGGCCGGTCGGGGTCAGGAGGTGCGGGCGGCAGCAAGGGTGGGTGGCCGTTCACGCTGGGCCGCCAGGGACGGGCAAGACGCACACGGTGTGAGGCATGCTGAACGCCATCCACCTTGTGCACTACCAGCGCTACTACCACTCGCTCCTCGCCAAACTCGCCCCCTCCGCCTCCGCCACCCTCCTACCCGACGACCCAGCTTCGGCAGGTGCCGGCTCGGACAATGCAGGTTCGGCGGAGGCGGTAGGTTCGGGAGGGGGCAGCATAGAGGATTTGCTGGAGAGCATGGATCGGCTGGCGCCGCGGCGGCAGGTGCGGGTGGCACGCAAGCCGCGCATGCTGGTGTGTGCGCCGTCCAACGCGGCGGTGGACAAGCTGCTGTTGCGTGTGCTGCTAAAGGGCTTACTGGTCGGCGAGATGCGCACCTACCGGCCCGACGTGGCGCGCGTTGGTGCCGAGGCCGCCACCCCTGCTGCTCAGGTGAGAGGGGGGGGAGGAGGGTTGGGGGGCATGGTAGCTGTGGCTCTTGTTTACGAGAAGAGCTCCAGAATAGCTCGTGACATGCAAGCCCAGATTTATTCATTGCTGATTGGGATTCAGTGTGGCTCTGCAATACATTCACACTAGCTTTACAGCCCTTGGCCCCCTTGCCTCCTCTCACGCCCTTTCCTTTTTTCTTCCCACCACCCACCACCGCCCTCCCATGCACCCCCCTCGGCCAGGCGGTATCGGTGGAGCGGCGGTCGCAGCAGCTGCTGCAGGTGTCGGCAGAGGAGGCCGCCCACCACGTGGCAGCGCTGCGCCACAAGGAGGGCCAGCTGGCATGCCACGTCAGCGTGCTGCAGCGCCAGATCCGCGAGCTGGTGGAGGCGGGGGGAGGGGGGAGTGGGGAGGGGGGCAGTGCGGTGGGGATGGATCCAGAGGTGTTGGTGCAGCGGGAACGGGAGAGGGACGCCCTCGTGCAGCGACTGGCAGTGAGTGCAGCGAGTGTGGCAATGGTTGTGTCTGACTCCAAGGAAGGAGGTACCTATATTGAAGGGAGCAAACGTAACATTTCCTTCTCAAATCTCTTGGATATGTTTTTTTCACTGGCTTCACTGTCCCTCCAATTCCTCCCCCCCACGCCATGTCATGCCCTAACCACGGTGGCAGGCGGCAGTGGAGGAGAGGGAGCAGGTGGGGGTGGAGGTGGGGCGGCTGCTCATCGTGCTGGGGGCGCGGCGGGGCGACGTGACATTGGAGGCGGCGAGGGCACAGCTGGAGGCGAGCTTTGCGGAGGAGGCGGAGGTCGTCTTCACCACCGCCAGCAGCAGCGGCCGCCGGTGAGCCTCCTTGTGAGGCGCCTTCAGGTTGCTTTGAGAGGTTCGCACAGCAGCGGTCACGAAGCGGGGCTTAAACGAAGCGGAGATACATTTTAAAAGGGTACCGCAAAGAACCAAAAGCTTGAGCAGTTTAGTGGAAGGGGCAGGGGCAAGCATGTTTGGCCGAAGAGGGAAGGAGGCCACAGATCCGGGTTGGCGGATGCGGTTCAGGATGAGTAAGGCTTGAGCTTGCACTTGAAGACATGCACTCGAAGCCTTGCACTCGAAGCCTTGCACTCGAAGCCTTGCACTCGAAGCCTTGCACTCGAAGCCTTGCACTCGAAGCCTTGCACTCGAGGCCTTGCACGTGGATGCCAAGCCTCCTGAAGGCAAGCTCTGTACAAGGATGAGGCATGCGTTTGTCGTCACATAGTTTCCTTCATCTGTCCTTCCCTCCCTTACACTATATTACCCTTTCCTCCTCATGCTCCTTCTCTTCTCCCTTTCCACCCGGTCCCCCACGACATGACCTCCCCTGAACGCCACACACATCCAGGTGGAGCCACGCATTCCGCACCCACACCCTCCGCACGCGGCTAACGTGCGGCTGGATGAACGGGACGGAGCTGCCAAAGTGCGCCGGCATACGAGGGGCGCTCGGGCTGTTTTTGCCCGAGACAATCGCCCGTACCTGGGAAAACGAGATGGCCGTCGCAACCCGTGCACAACGGGGGGCAGTCGGCTGAAATCGCAGGGCCGCCGCAAGCCCGTCTCCTCTCCGTCTCGACCCCAGTGCAGATCCCCGGATGCCAACCGGGAGGACGCGAGCGGGACGAGCGCGACGAGGCGGGTGGCGACCCCGCTGGGCCCGGTGAACCCAGCCGGCCAACGGACCCCGTCCGGACCTCCCAGCAGGTGGGGGGGTATCGGATGCCAAACCGGTTCCTCTTTTCCTCTCCCGAGAAGGCCGCGAAACGGAGAAATGGAGTCCGAGGGCGTGGCAACCCTCGGTCTCCGCCCTCCAAAGTAGCGCGCACGGACCGGGCGAGGGGCGGACGGGGCTCGTACTAAAAATGGTCGGACCGGGGAAGAACCGGGCAAACCCCCAAACGATGGCTTCAAGTCAGGCGAGACCACCCGCTGAATTTAAGCATATTACTAAGCGGAGGAAAAGAAAACAACCGTGATTCCTTTGGTAGCGGCGAGCGACCAAGGAAAAGCCCAGGCTTGAAATCCGAGGGCCTCCGGCCCTCCGAATTGTAGTCTGAAAAGGAAGCGTTCTCTGTGACGGGCGC